TGCGAGTCACCGTATATCAAAATTCTGACCTATTATCCACAGTGTCGTTTATTGACATTGTCGCCGCGTACAGCACGATGACAAATAGCAGCCGTGGCGTTTTGGCAGACTTACAAACGTGCAGTAAGTAAATATGTGTACGTCAAACCGGCGACGGAGGTAGACGGCGGCTCGGCGACGTTTCGTGCCGCGAAGATAGAACGGAGGGGAAATGGTTAAGGTCACGGCGAATGGTTTATTTCAGATGGTAGGAAGTCCAGGTGGATTTCCGGCGGCGCAGGTACATCACCGCGATGGATTATCGATCAGCTTCAGCTTCCATCCTCGTCAGTCTTATTAATTATTCCCTATGGATTTAGTATACGAGAATAACAACTAAATAGCGTGTAAAGCAATTACCAACCTCGTTCAAGTCGATTAATCTATCTAACAGAATGTTATTGGCTTTTATTATAATATCTCGCATGCAGAGTAAACCGATAGGAACAGCCATATGAAACAATTATTGATTATTCCTTGATGGTATTAATAGATGTTTCATATGAATTTTGTATTTCATTGAATTAATGCACTCCAGTATTTTATAATAATATTGAAGTAATTTCACTGAAACTGAAGTGCAGTTTTAAGTGTTATTGCTATTCGTCATATGTATGCTAATCCTGCGATAAAAGTCACTACAATTAGTGGAAGTGCAAGTTCTATTAATAGCTGTACAATACCTACATATATTGCAATTTTTAAAAAATGCTTCTGTTTCATCGTTTTAGTTAGAGATGTAAATTAAGTCTATTGTACTTATTAGAATTAACTAGTAATTAAGTTACATACATTACACCCAGGCAAATGGGGTTCGTACACTCGAGACGAGTCGACTCGTTGACCCGGGCTCGAAAGCTTCCAGCTTTCTTCATCGCAACACGTCGTTGGTCCAAGTCCGCGACTATCGAAACCGGGAGTTTGCTATATCGCACGCTCAGAAGCCACCCTCTTTCCGCAAGTATTAAGAAATAACGAGACCCGACATTGAGAGGAAATGTTCTACGAAAGAGGCTAGAGCCCAGAGGCCGATTCCCGGAAATATTTCCGGACCGCCGAGGCGGAAGTTCGAAAGCTCGGTCGCTGCTTGTTCATCGACGGTTTCCGCGCGAGCAAATAAACTCGCCGGCTAGCCGGCGTGTTTCCTTCCATCTACTACCGGCAACGCCACCCACGCGATCCTCCACCCAGGGAGTTTAATTCGGTAAACAGTTTCGTCTCGCGGCCTATTACCGTAGAACGTGCGCTAATGCACGGCAAATATTTAATGCCGGCCGAAACCAAACCGGTAAATAATATCTGTCCGCGGTGCTCTGCGTTCTTCCGCTCTACCCGGCTAATACAACGAGATTAAGTGGGTTCACCTCGAAAGCTCTTGTCAAGATAAATAAATCATGAATATTACAAACTTTCAGGCTGCTTAAAACGTTTTTATTATTAATTTAGAAAATTAAGTTTATATAAGACTCTCTTAGAATAATAACAATAGTAGTATGCATTTTAAAGCATTCCTCTTTAAGAGTAATAATACGATTTTTATATGTTAAATAAAAACTGTATTTGATTGCATCAGGAGATGCGGATTCGTCGATTTATTTGATTACGTCTGGCTAGATTTCTAAATAAACCCTCCGATCCCAATAGATTTAATATCCGCAACCTCAACGGAGATGACTTTGCAATATAAAATTGCGTGAGGATGCGAACAAGCTGCAGCTATAACAACCTCGCAATTCTGATACAGATCTCTCGAGCGCAATCAGAGTTTCGCAAGGCTACAAGAAAAAAACTGTAGTAACGGTTGTTTAATACCGTCGCTCTCTCAGCAGATTATTAGAAACGAGTGCCGTGAACGGTTGAAAAGTCTGCGCGACGCGATGCGCCGATTCGTGTCAACGATGTTTATAATGTAGGATGCGCATCGCGCGTTTAGTATAGTGTATGTACTATACGGTCCACGTATACATGGTATATACAATCTGTACATACGTGTATAGGTGAGAAGGAGATAGCGCATATCTTTGACCCAGATAAGAGGAATTCGAAGGGGTTCTTATCCCGGGTCCATAGCCCCGGGGCGACGCGCGACGGCGCTTCTGGTGCCAGGCTTAATGGAGCTTGAATAACGCCAAGATGAAGGTTGCCCGCTACTCGCAACCCTCGGGCGTTGTCCCGAAATTTTAGCGAATTTTTTCGGAATCCCTCACTCGCGAATCCGCATCCCTCACTCCGCATTCCACGAAGATTTGAAAAATTTAACG